CATGCTGGACCCTACTTTAAAGGAAGATTTCAGAAGAGCTCTGTACCATATAAACAGTATTGGGCAGGGAGTTCTGAGACCCGAGTTCCAGTCCTGGCTTCCTTTCCAGCTCCGTTTCCCACCTTAGCTTTCTTACAAATTGCTTTTGAGGATCAGATGAGGTAACATGGGAAAAATGTTGAACAAACACAAAGGCTCAGAGAACACTGTTCCTTTTCCAAAGAGCACTAGTTCAGGAGTTAAGTAATAAATTTTAAGTATGATTTAACTGATAAATATTAAATTATATATTGTTTCACTATAGCCTTAACACATACATTTTAAGGACACAAAAATCTAAAATTTGCTGTTTTTACTTAGCCTTCAAGGTACATATCTGACATCAGATGGAAGAGCCACATGGTTTCAGAGGAGCAAATCTGTTTTCCATATCTTGTTTCTTCTTAGGAAGTCTCCTGCAATTCCTCCTTGAAGGAATCTCATCTTACTAGGAAGGACATGTTACTCTAGGTTATTAAGTCCAAAGTCTTGAGACTGATGGAACTCTGAAATAAAAGGTTTTGTTGAACCCTGACAATGTTAACCATAAAAGGACACAGTCCTAGAACCTGGGACTCTACTATAGTTCAAGTTCCAGCAAACGTGTATAGAAGTTCCAGCAAGTCTATATAGCAATCAGAAAGCTGTCTACTGGACACAGAGCTAAGGGTATTTTATAAAGAAAACTTGGAGAAGGAAAGCATCAGAGTTTGCCTCAGGCTAACATTAGTTGTAGATAAGAGGAGAAGGACAACAGAGTGGAGAGAGTTTGGGAATATGACAGATCATAAGGAGAAGCCCTTACTGTTTCTGGGTTGGTTGGGGGTTGTAAGCAGAATATGATATCCTGTGTCCATAGGCAACCTGGGATTTGAGCCAGGGTTTTAGCATATTCCATTTAGCATGGAATAGTTCTGTTGGTTTGACCTGTTATCTCTCCCCCCACTCCCCTCTTCCATTTGTTGGTCCATATAACAAAATTTAGGACATCTCAGAAGGTTTCCATTATCTTAGGGCATGCCCATCCTTTTTTTTCTGGAGAAATGGTAGCTGATATCTTGGATTTTCCAGGGCAGAGGTGATTTTGAATCGCACATGATTTTCCCTATGAGTACATTTACCTATGGAGAGTCTTCCGCCCCGATTTTTGGGTTAAGAATCATTCATGGTCATCAGTGTGTTCTGAGCCTCTGCACAGATCATAAGAGAAAGGCAGTCTTGGAAAACTGGAGGAGGAAGTTGCAAGTCCATCCATTTCCTGTGCATTCTCTCATGGCCTTGGGGAGCTTTCTGACACATGTTCACACTTACAAATTACAGGTGGCAAAGGAGCCTCATTTACACTGGATGACAGAGATTCTCTAAGATCCGTCATGTAACTAGCCTCTGATTCTCAGCTGGCAAAAATAATTGCTTTACTAACTTATTTTCATGACTGCATGCTATCTCAGCCTATCCTTCTTTAAAGAAGAGAACCTGGACAGCAAAGGCTGTGGGGAGAAAACTCACTTCATTGCATTTAAAAGGAAACTCTGCTTGAGTCCTTTATGGTCCTATCTCTACCCATCAGCACCAGCTTCTGCCTCTTCAAGTGATAATTAGGCATTAGAAGCTGGCAGTGTGATCTCAGCCAATGGCTTTTAAAGGCTGTATGGATTTAAAGAAAGGCCCTGTGTGGGGCTTTTGAAAGGGAGCTAAGTCTCTCCAGTGCCTCCTCCTCTCAGCAGCCTGGGCTCCATGTCCTGGTAGATGGCCTTCAGCATGAAGGAATGGCTGCTGTATGCCAGTCCTGTTGGGGCGCCTTAAATTTGAGCATTCTTTCTGAATGGATACCATGAAATACTTTTAGTAGAACTATTATTTGGTTGGAGGGCAGTTGTTCAAAACATACTGAGAATCATTATAATTGGAATGCAAACCTAACAATTAAACCTCTACTTTACCTAGCTAGAAAACAGTCCCCATGGGGCAAGGGACATGAGGGAGGTTTGGCTTCCACCCACATCACCCCAGCAATGTGAGGGCTGGTTAGGGTTGGGTTGGGTTATGCCATGCTGTTCAGAGTGGACCTTCCAAGAAACTGAGGCAGCATGAAGACCCCCTTCAAACCCTGAATCCTATACAAGTCAGAAAGATTTTAGACATGTCTGCTCAGAGTAACAGGAATGAGTTTATTAAAGGGATAGGAAAAGGGGAAGGGGACACTCTCAAGGGAGAGAGTGGGTCCTCTCAGAGAGGAGAGGGACAATGTGCCTGTCCTGCACTCCAGTTTTATTGGGGATCTCAGGGAAGTTTCCAGGGAAACCTGCCAGGTCCACCTCTTGACTTTTGGCTGACAACAGGGTGACATCTGACTTTCAAGTCTCCACTGCCATGACAACTCTATCACTTAAGCCCACGCTCAGAGGTTCTAATTGGATCCTTAACCACAGAATTATCCTTGCCTCCAAAATCTGGTCTGTGAAAAGAATCACAAAAGTCTCTCCCTTCAAAGTAACTTGGGCTCCTCTTATCAATGTTATATCCTGCCTGCATTTTCTTGTAGATAACAGGCAGTTTGCAGAGGAATGTGACATATCCTCTCCACTTAGTGGCTTCCATCCAAATCACCCCAGCAATGTGAGGGTTGGTTAGGGTTGGGTTGGTTTGGTCCCTCCCATTCTGAGTATGCCTGGTTTGAGGCTGGAACTGGGCTACAGAGGAGGAGAGGGCTGGTCTTTGAAGACTGTGAAAAGTGACCGGGTCTCCCTACTTGAAATCCTACTTTAAGTGCGGTGAGTCAGTTCTACAAAATTGCTCCCCATTCAACACCCAGGCAGTGGGGACTCGAACATGGAAAGGGCACAGTCCATGCTCTGAAGATGTCTTCACATTCTCCTGTGCTACAGTTGGAGAGGGCATTTTAGCTTACAAAGCTCTTTGTCACACATTGTCTCATTTAATTCTCAAACTATAAAAAAGAAAAGCAAAAATTATTATCCTTATTTTCAAGAAAAAAAGAGCCAGACTCAGTCCCAGGGACTTGCTCAGTTGGGGCTGGAACCAGGATCTTTGTTTCTACACAGTCACCCTACCTCAGGAAGTCAGAAATAATGGAGACTTTTCTGAGCAGCCTAGAAGTTGTCAATTATACCCTATGGACATGTTTATAAAGCAAATCAGATAGGACAAGAGTGCATGTATGCTTTTTGGGTAAGGATCCTTTGATAAAAATGGCTATTGGTAGTGATATAATTCTGCTATTCACATACCTATAATTGCTTTGGCTTCTTTTTAAAAAAAATATTTTTAGTTGTAATAACTTAATTTGTTATTATTTTCTTATGTGGTGCTGAGAATTGAGCCCAGTGCCTCACACATGCTAGGCAAGCACTCTGCCCCTGAGCCACAACCCCAGCCCTGCTTTGGCTTCTTATAGGCTATTTAACCATTTGTGCTGCAACCAGCAACCTGATTACTTTATTTCCCTCCCTCAACACTAGGATTGAGGTGTTCAGAATGGAAATGGAGTGCTGGAATCCAAAGGCAGGGAATAGGATGCAGGTCCTTGCTCCTGGGCTCTCAGCTTACATGCAAAGGCTGGAGGTAAACACAGTGTGTGAGAACATAGCCCATAGCCAACTGGGAACCTAGCTTCTTCTACAAGGGCATCCAGTGGTCAGCTCCTGCTGGAGGTCCACAATTCTAATCAGACCCAAAGTTACCAGCTTTTGAGATTTTTTTTTTTCCAAGAGAATCTGGAAATCTAGAATTTTGTGTAAGTTCTCCTGATTGGGTTGTAACATATTAACATCTAATTCAAACATTTCCAAACCAAACCAAAACCAAGACTTGGGAGCCTCTTTTGCAACCTCTGTTCTTTGTAAGTAGTGCTTTCAGGACAAATGCACCAGGGCATAGAGATGTGGATAGAAGTACCTTTATTTCCAGCTGCCTTGCATCTTTTTCCTCTTTGTGAGGGGAATAGAAATACAGAAGGAATTAATAAACTGTTGGAACTAGGGAATACACAGAGCTTCCATATTCTCACTCTGAAGTATGATGATTTCAATATCGACTTTTCTTATTTTTAATGGTAGTTCTCGCCTTTTTCCTCATCTATTGGTTGATGGATGAGATCCATTTGCAAAACTCCTCAAAGGCACCCGCAGATTGGAAGCCGGGACAGGAGCTAAATACAGACCACTGCTCACTGGCTAACATCACAATTTCCTCACTTCTGTAACAAACTGTAAAGGAACCTAAATAAGTGAAATGACAAAAAATATGAGAATGACCTTCATTTGGCCTTAAATTTATAAAAAGTAAATCCATCATGAGCATTGATATTTTACCCACCATTAGTAATAACTCACTTGTGACATAATTCTCAAATGTCAGGACAACCATGGTGAAGAATTGTTGTTTTTAAAAAAATAAATAAATAAATAAGAGGATATGTTGGTAAAATTTCCAGACAGACAAGCCCTCTCTGCTACTGGCATTTTCAGCCCTGCCATGGGGAACTGGGTCGACTCTTAGAGTTCATAAATTCACCTTTACAGCTTCTGTTACAAGATTCTTAGGAGTGTCAAAAGAACTGGACTCTCAAGTCAGGGCAGGAGAAATAAGACTCCAAAACAATCAGTGAGTTAAGAACCAAACCTTCTTACCTCCCCAGCTGGAATAGGGAGCCCCTACTAGAACTGGTATTTGGATGGTAAGTTTTGACTTACAGATGAACCAGCCACAAAGGATCCCCCTTGGTATCCACATTCTCTGCTCTGTGAATTGATCCAGAAGATGCAGAAATGGAATCCCCGAGCTTTCCCTGTTAACTCCTAATTTGGGACGATCTGTTTCTTTTCCCATGCATTGGAAAATGAAAATGTAAGGAGTCGGAATAGAAACCAGACTCAAGAAAGAAAAAAAAAGACAGCAGAGGTGACTGGCAATCTTATGTGGTATGTCTCTTGGGGAGGAGGTGTCTAGATCTGAACGTCAGACTAGGACAAAATGCAAACAGAAACAAGTCTATTTTTTTCCCTAGGTCACCATAGGGAACCAATCTAACCTATTTACAAGTGATCTCAGGGGAAATATCTTTAAATAGCTATCTTGTCACCATCCTTTTCGTCATCTTCCACAATCGCTTTGGGTCTCTGGTCCCTGAGCAGTCTCACACCTGCAAAACAAAGCACAGATCTGCAATTAAGTGCCTCTGCTTCAAATATTAGACAACCTTGTAGTGCAGACATAGGAGCTCAGCAACCTAGAAACGTTTAGCATCTGTGCTGAGGGAGAGGGTACTGGGTGGCCTTATTTGGCCTTCCCAAGGTGCTCAATGAGGACACCACTCTGGGTGCAAGGGGATGCAAAGCCTGGGAGTCAGAGACAACCTTCACCTTCTTTCTCTGATTTCTGATCCTAAGCTTGCAGTACTATAGGATGGAAAACATGGGATTTTGGAGTTCAGTTGCACTGGGCTTAGTTCTGCCACCCTCTTAATCTCATTTTACATATGAGAAAATCTAAAATGAGAACACTACTGCTTATTATAAAGTGTTATTGGGTTAACTAAGGTAAATATAACACACTTAGCAAAGAATCATACTTGTGAACAACTAAATGCATTTTTCTTTTTCTTTCTCCCTGCCCCTCCCTCCCCCCACCTCCACCCCGCAAAGCAACTGGTCATCCTCATGAAGTCAAGCTTTGAAATATTTTACCAACAACCAGGGAAAATATTAAGCCAAGGTGCTGGACATGCCATTTCCAAATGTTAGTCCCAGGAAATGATGAGGTTCACATAGTTTAGAGCAAAAAAGGAAAATAAGAAAAATGTAGTGAGTTTTTCCATGTAACTGTATAGCTATAATTTAAAAAGGGGCTCTTTATTTTGAGACGACTCTTTGTCTTCTTTGGAGGATTAAAATATCTTTTTCTTTTAAAAAATTTTAGACATGTTAGATGATTATTTCTTCTCATTCTTACTCAAAAAAAAAAAAAGTTGCTATCCCTCTGTTGGGCCCCATGGTATTTTGTTCTTAAAGAATTTTCTGGTCTATGAAACTCAGAAGTCTGAATTTCTTTTCTGAGCCCAATTTTCTGGGCTGATTAGCTCAGAAAAGTCCAGCCGAGGAGGTCGGGATAGTTCTGCTCACCCTATGAAGGGTCAAGTAGGATCATTTTAACAAAGGACAGTGGAACTGTGACTGAGGCCAGTCCTGTCCTCCCATTCCAGCCCCCAGTTGTGTCTTGTACCCTTGCCTTGGATCCCTCTCTCCTTCCTCTCGTAATTAGAGGCTCCAGTCCATGAAGCAGTTCATAAAGATCTAAACTTGAGGGAGGAAGCTGAGCACCATAAGAGGCCTTTCTATAGCACTGGACTCCATTCAACAGTGGCAAATTAATGAAAACTATGTGTTAATCTTAATGACTATTCATTTGATTCAGTTCCTAGTTTGTTCAGATGGGTTCCTTACCAATTAGCTAATATTTATTGGAGGAGAAAAACAATTTCAAGAGTCTGGCTGGAACTAAAGCTTTTGCATAAATCACGTGTGAAACACAGTGGGAGATATTCTCTCTGATACCAGCTGCGTGGAGGATTGGATTTTTATTTGAATTTAAGATAGCCTAGTAGGGGAATGTAGATTTAGCTATGTTGAATTCTGAAACTTTTCATCCTTCCTTCCTGGATATGTCTTTATATTAAGCTCCATGTAGGTTGATTCAAAATGGGTGAGAGCCTTTATAGTCCCAGGTCTTGGTACGCTTTGTGGTTACTTTGGGTATCCTTGACATAGAGTAAGATGAGAATCTGGGCCAAAGGTTGGGGGGTGGGGAGGTCCTGGGATTTCAAGGATAGGAGGAACCTACAAAATGATAAAGGCTGATGCTTCCTAAAGTGGAGTGGACTACCCATAGGAGCACATGAGGTCATTTCAAGTTGAAAGTGAACTACCATGCTAAGCGAAATAAGTCAATCCCCAAAACCAAATGCTGAATATTTTCTCTGATAGGCGGATGCAAATTCACAATAAGGTGGGAGCTAGGGAAGAACAGAGGTACTTTGGATTGGACAGAGTGGAGTGAAAGGAGGGGAAGGGGTATGGAGGAAGGAAGAATAGTAGAATGAATCAGACATAAATTATCTTATGCACATATATGATTACATGATCAGTGTAATTCTACATCATGTACAACCAGAAGAATGGGAGTTATTCTCCATTTATGTATGATGTGTCAAAGTGCATTCTACTGCCATGTATAACTAATTATACCAAATAAAAAAAAATAAAAAAATGTGAGCCACTGTTTTATATTTGTGTAGCTAAACAGTAATTTTAATGTTTTATAATAAAGTTATGTGTTATGATTTGGAACTTAATTAAATGTCCCCCCTAAGATTCAGGTATTGAAGGTTTGTTCCCCAGCTTACAGCACTCTTGGGAGGAGATGGAACTTTTAGGAGGTGGGGCCTAGTGGGAGGAAGTTAGGTCATTGTGGGCATGCCCTTGAGGAGGATATTGGGACACTGGCCCCTTTGGGTCCTTCTTTCTCTCTTTCTCTTCTCTGCTTCCTGGCCATCATGAGGTGAGTCGCTCTATTGCATCATACCATTCGTGGCATGATATTCTGCTTTTACAGGCCCAAAGGCAGCAGAGTCAAGGACCAAGAACTGAAATCTCTGAAACTGTGAGACAAACTGAATCTTTCCTCCTTTTATGTTAATTTTCTCAAGTACTTTGTCAAAGTAACAGAAAGCTAACATAGGAGCTTATCAAAATCTTGAATTCATGGATATTATTGTTCAGGTTGAGCTTTAAATCAGGAATATCTATATATATATATATATATTACCACTGCATTGTTGTTCTTGATGCTTTGGTGATTTGAAAATGACCTCTGAGGGTCAATCAGCCTTGCAGTGAGCTATTTTTGAGCAGGATCCCATGTACAGCACCATCTACAACTGATCATCCACATTATAGACATGTACCTCTGACCTATAGGAGCCAGAGAGAAGGCACCCCCTGTCCTAACTAACCATCTTAGAAAATACGTTATTACAAGCAAGACAGAGGAGGTGTCACTTTCAAAGGACAAACCAGTCCCTTTCCTTTGTACAAGCACACTATTTTAATGTCTGATTTCCCTCGACTGCCAGATGTTCAAAGCTTATGAACCAGTTTTCCAGCAGGTTCCTCTTTCATGCTTCTAGCCAAGCTATGCTTGGCTCTATTTGCTACAGACCCCAACTCAAGACTTCCTTCTCTCTTAAGCAATGCTTGGTTACCTGGTCCTGACCAATCACAACCAGTGGTCCCTGCCATGAAATCATCAAGATGGGGGTCCTGGCAAACTGTGGACCAAGTTGGGAGCAAGCCTGGAGCTGGCAAGAGAGCCTGAGATACCCTACTGAGGGGCTATTCTGGCAGTTGGAACCTGTCAAATGAGCTCATTAACCTAGGAGAAGGACAGTGGTTAGCAAGAGACTTAGAAAGGAGAGTGAATCCATGTCCAGTGTTCCCTTGCCAAGGGCTAATGAGAGGAGATGTCTCCAGGGTGCATTTGTCTGTGAGTTCCTCCCAACACCCTCATTAGAACCAACGTGAGTTTTTCTGAACATCTGCCGAAGGCGCTATCCTTATCAGCTTAACTAGCATTTTGATTATTGCCAAATCTTTAGATACTAAAAGGCTCTTCAAAAATAGAGTAACTTCAGCTAATATGCTAATAAAAGCTAGAATCATACAACAATATCTATAATTGCACATACTTAAATGTAAACATTTGCTGACTCAAAAATTTCCATAATGAGTGTCAAGTCTATGGCCATACAGCACCCGTCCAACCCTTACACATGCTGCAGTATTTGATAAACATTTTTGATTCAATGGGGAAGCTGTTAATTGGGGATTTAGGTAGTGGCATATAGGCAACATCCATTGCCAAGTGATCAGAGTTCAATCAATTAGGAGGTTCCCTGAATCAGCAGGTTTGTATGAAGTAGGAGAATTCTCATCTTCAGAAATTGTTTGACCTATCTCAAAGAATATAAGATTAAACAGAAAATGAAGAGGAACTAACATTTATTGAGGACTTTCAATATGCCAAAAACTCTGCTAAGTGCTTTGACACTTTATTTAATAGTGTTCTCAGTGCTTTGAGATAGCCTTTATAGCCCCCCTTTTAGGAATGGATGAAATAAAAAAAGTTCTTAGTTGTGTTCATTTTTCAGAGCTTTGAAAGTACTAAGGAGCAGAAAAGGAAATATAGAGTTTTCTTGCCTTCAAAGCCCGTGCAAAATTTTATGTAGTCAGATGGCTCCCTGCCTGTAAATATTTTTTTCTCTCTACTAACTCTGTGGTAGTAAAATAAACACAAGAATGGGTAGAAAATAATCAGTCTCTATCAGGTACTGCAGAATCATGATTGACAGGTAGAATATCAAATCAGCAGATAATTATGGAGCACTGCTATATAGAAAGGATTGGACTAGCTGATATCAAGGTCAATACCGGAAACATAAGGTGATTGAATCACAACCCAGTCCTCATGAATTCAGCAAACAAGCTGTTGAAGTAGGTCAATTTACATAACAGGTATAATAACAGTAATGAGAACAAAAGACCATACTAACAACAATGGCAGAGTCTTGGGTATTTGCATGCCCATGTCTAGTAGAGAGTTAGTTCGGAAAAGAAAAAGTCATTTTGGACTTGAAAAGATCGGTTAACAGAGGCTTTGAGTTGGCTGAGGTCACTGGGACCTGGACCGGGGGAGCTGGGGGAAAATGTGTGTCAGTTTGAGGGTCAGTAAAGGTGGGAAAGCAGTGTAGCTGAGCAGGAGTAGACTTTCCCACCCACCCTTGGTCCATTTCTCTTGAGAATTGTCTGTATGCTCCACACTATCTTGCTTGGCTCTGCCCCTTATTTGCAAATGAGAAAGCATGTGTTACAGTCTGTGCCTTTCTTTCCTTTTCATTTGATTTAAGGACAGAAATATTTAACAGAGGCAAAAAAAAGAAAAGAAAAGAAAAGAAAATAGATTTAAGTCATACACAATTCTAAAGTAGAATTTCCTATATTGCAGCATAACCTATAGAATGAGTAGACTAATAGGAAACAGGAAAAAAATCATGGCAATGGATCAGAGTTTGCTCATCTGGGTTACATAAGTCAAAATGATTACTTTGATGCAAGACTTATCAGATATTTTATTATTGCATCAACGGGTGCAGCTCTACCATGGAAATATCACCATGTAACAACTCCTTCTTCCTTTGGTTAAGTGTTGGAATGGATAAATTGTAACTATTGGCTATTATTCTTCAGTCAGTTACACCAAGGTCTCTGGACTCCTTTTCCAATAGCAAATCTACTGTGAAAGAAGAAAGGATTTTGCCCCTGGCTTGCTCTCTGTGTACCTGTTAGAGGCTGGAGAGTGGCTTCTTCCTTTAAGTCCTGCATGAGGTAGGAGAGTTGTGCTCAGCCACCTCTGTTGACTGAAGTAAAAGACAAATGAGGGAAGGAAGAGGCTAATTCAGATCCTGCCCAGGCAAGTGATACAAGGAGTCATGGGAACCATCCTTCTCTCTGAGCGAGTTATCTTGTGGTTTACAATTTGCCTACCTGTGAGTGAGTTTTGGAAAATATGTGTTAATTCTGCTTCAGGACCAAATATTTAGTTATTATATTCCCCTACCTAGAATATACACTCGGGGAAGACAAGAACTTTTTTTTTAGTTTTGTTTTCTAATGTATGTCTAGCACTCCCAACAGTGCCTAGCGCATAGTAGGTTCTCAATAAATACTGAGGGAGTAAAGGCTAAAGACTTTGCCACTTGTGGTCACTTGAACTCATCACTTTGGCTCAAATACTCTTCGCCCAGTTATCCCCATGGCACCCCCCCACACTCCCCATCAGGTCTCTGTTTCAGTGTCCCCTCATAAGAGAAGTCTTCCCTGTACTCCCTACTCAGGAAGCAGTCTCTAGCTCTCTCCCTCTTTCCATACCCACCTTTACTTTTCTTCCTAGCATTTATCCCTAGGAGAGATTCTATTGTCTCTTTGTACAATTATGATTATGATTACTATTTTGGTACCAGGGATTGAATCCAGGGACACTTTACCACTGAGCCACATCCCCAGCCCTTTTTATATTTTATTTAGAGATATGGCTTCACTAGGTTCCTCAGGCTGGCTTTGAACTCCTGCCTCAGCCTCCCAAGGATTATAGGCATGCACTATTGTGTCTGGCTAACTCTATGATGATTGACTTTCTTGCAGTATCAGTGCCTAGAACACAGCAAGGATTTAATAAATATCCATTAAAATACTGAGGGTTGTTTGAGGATTAGACTTCTGCCTGTTCTAAACTTCTTGTGTTATCAGTACAATTTATTATGTTAAAAGGTTACATGTAGTCAGAGCTCAGAAAGGCTGGTCACTAGAAATGAGTGTGGATATAAGTGTGTGTGTGTGTGGGGGGGGGGTTGGGGAGAAATACTGCTAAACATGACCAGGTGGGGTCACATACATTTTGATATACAGGTAAGTAGTCAAGAAGGAAGGATGGATGAAAGGAAAAAGAGTTGGAAAGAGAGGATGAGGGGGATGAAAGGAAGGGAAGGACAGAGAACACAAATTTTGTGGAACTTGGGACTCGTCTCTCTAGCTTGCTTGGAGATCTAGAGGCCCTGACCTCGTTTGTCATGGTGTCTTTTTCTGAGATGTCTTTTTCCTCCTTTATTAAATTAAATAATGGAATGCTGGGTGTGGTGGTGCACGCCTGTAATCCCAAGAGACTGAGGCAGGAGGATTTTGAATTCAAAGCCAGCCTCAGCAAAAGTGAGGCGCTAAGCAACTCAGTGAGACCCGGTCTCTAAATAAAATAAGAAATAGGGCTGGGGATGTGGCTCAGTGGTGGAGTGCCCCTGAGTTCAATCCCCAGTACCCCCTCCAAAAAAAAAAATTAAATAATGGAAAACTCTTAATAACAATCAAATCTTATCTCCTTCCAAAAGTGGAACTTCTGCATTCCTATGATGCTAGAAGTCCAAACCACCCCACAGTACAGTAAAAACCTGGCTAAAGCCAGAGAGGCTTGGGTTTGAACTCCAGCTGTTCCACCTAGTAGTGTTTAACCTTGATTGATTCACTTATTTATCTGGTCATTCTATCATTAGTCCAACTGTTAATCAGCCATCCTTCTATCCATCCTTCCATCTATCCATCTCATCCAGGTAAGACTTTAAACCGTCTGACAAGTGAATTAAATTGTTTCTCTGTTTCTCTGTCTATAAAGGGAGGTAAAAGCTACTCTGTTACATTACTCAGTAGACTTTTTAAAAATCCATGATACAAGCCATTTCTTACATTTTGTGGGTTCTCAGTAAATATTAGTACATCTTTCACTTGCTATTCTCCCTACAAAACCATCTGTATCTCTCTCTCTCTCTCTCTCTCTCACACACACACACACACACACACACACACACAGTCTCACACTCTAATCATCATGAGTGTACACATTTTATTTCCTAACTTGCATATAAAGTTCTCAGGGACAAGAACTATACCTCATACAGAGTCTCCCTTATAGCCTGGGATTATAAACACAGATCAGTAAGGTTTTCTATTGGACACATAATAAGATAGCTATCAGTATTTCTGCATTTCTCTTTCTCTCCTCCCTTCCTCTCTCTCCTATTTTGAGAACTTGGTCAATTAGTCCATGTGACTTGGGAGGATCAGCCATCAGTTACTGGACACACGATCCACTTGAGACGGGGAAGGGTATTTCACCAGTTCTCAAGGACCCACTGACATTTCTGTTTCACTGGCTCAGTGAATTTGACCAGCTCTGCTGAAGCAGGAGTAATCTCCGAGCCTCTGGCATCTCCAGGTCATCCCCCGGGGAACTGCCAATGAAGATAAATCTGAGAGGCAGCAGTACATGTGACTCCTCCCTAGAGCACTTGGGCAAGACCGAGCTTGCTGGGCCAGGAAAAAGTCCATGTCCTGGAACCTCCTGGTGGTCAGGCTCCCGACCCATTCCCACCACCTCCTGCTCTTTTACCTGCTGCATAGGGGGGCACGTGCAGGGCAGGTGTGTCTTTTCTCCTTGGCCTTTTCTGTTCCAGGTCAGAGTTATGAAGAGCTGGGTTTATTTTGCCCTTTGGACGTCTGTCCTGAACATCATATCTTTTAATTAGATGTTCTGAAATCACACCTGCATGGTTAGGGGAACAGAGAGATAGAAGCAGGGTCAAGTAAACATATCCCATACAGAAGGGTTGTGCATAACACAGCACATACACCTGGTGAAGGTAGTCAAGGTTGCTTTCCCAAACTTATTTTAATAAATGAAGTTTCCTTAGCGTAAGAATAATACTTATGCAGACTGCACTAGGAACATCCTCTATACAAAGGGGTTTGCATGCCTGATTTCATTTTAGCCTCATAAATCCCTGAGGGATTTAGTACTACCACCACCATGATCTACCTGATAGGTGAGCTAAAGAAATGGGCTCAATTTATTCCATTTTCTAGGTGTTGGATGGGGATTGAGCCTGGATTTTTTTTTTTTTTGTCTCCAAAGCTCATCTTCCTTAGCCAGTGGGGTAATTTTCTGTTCTGCAAGTTCTGTGCCTCACACTTCTACCCTTAGACTTTAATTATTGCCCTACCTCCACCCACCTTCACCTACTTGCCTTCTCACCTCTGTTCTGCAGGTGAAAATTTTCTCCATCATTTAATAATGCTCTAAAAATCAGAACTCACTACCCAGACTCATTTTCCCTGATTCTTAATTAGAACTTCCATTATGATGTTCCTTCCTTTTCCTTTTCTAACAGTGCTGGAAATCGAACCCAGGGTCTCAGGCATCCTAGGCAAGTGCTCTACAACGGAGTTCCATCCCAGCCCGTGATGTTTCTTCTTACTGCAGATTTCGGGTGTGTCTGGGCTGTTATTTCTTACATATAGGAAAGTTCCTTCCCAGAAATATCTGTTTCATTTGTTTTGTACCCCTCAAAGTATGTTGTGAGTAGAAAGGACAAGAAGGAAATGACCAAGAGTGAAGGAGAAAGAAACCAAACAAATAAAGTTTTTGAGCATAAGGGAGTCTCACATGTCACATCTCAGGTCTCATAGAGAGACATGTTAGTTGTTCATCAAACTGCTCCATGTTTTTCCTGGGCATGGAGCTGGACTATATTTCCAGCCTCCTTTGTAGTCAGGTGTGGCCTGTGATTGTCTCACACCCATCTCCCCACCAATCCTCCTTTCCAACGCCTCATGCCTGCTGGATGTTGATGAGCACGATGGCTTTGGAAGTTTGTGGTGGATTTATTCACTGTCTGTTGATAATATCAGAGCCCATCAGCTGGACCCCCAATGATTGGAGCAGTGCATGCCTTTCTGTCCCAAAGTCTACTCTCAGTGAGTGAAAAATACTGTATTATAAATATAGTACTGTATAGCTATTATTTATTATTTAAATACCCAAATATTTAAAAAGATGTGTTAGGACCAACATGGTCCAGTGGGGGTGGTTCCCCTTCCCAGCTGTGCAAGGCGGCTGCGCTGTCCATTACCTGGTATAAAAGGTGGGATGTGCAGGGCAGGTGTATCTTTCCTCCTTGGTTTTTTTTGGTCTGACTCAACATTCAGGTTGGCCTGTGTGTTCTTTCCCTTTCTTGGCTTCTTTTTGAGATCACAGTCCTTAATGAACTGGTCTGAAAGATCATCTGCTTTTGACAGGATATGAAGCAAAAAAAAAAAAAAAAAAAAAGAAGAAGAAGAAGAAGAAGAATATAACATGAGTAAGGGTTAGTCCCACACTGGGAGCAGAGGTCATTTGTTCTGAAAAAGGAAAATGTTTATTATTTTTGTCTCTTCAACAGAGGACTTGAGTAGATTTACAGAATGATCTACTCAATATAGACTAGAATAGAGAGAAAGGAAAACTGGAATTCTGTGAAACCCCCAATTAAGAGAATTTGAAAAGCAAGACAAAGAAGAACTTCAAAAGATGGTTGGGCAGACCTCAGCGTGGGTGTGCGTTGTTTCTGACGGGGTAGGCTCTCTGTGTTAATGCTCAATTTCCTTTGCCCGAGGTTTGTTCTCTTTAGACACCCCAAGGGTCAGTGTGGAACCTGCAGCTCCCTTGATCTTGGGAAGTTTCCCTGAGGTTCTCAGTAAATTCCTGACTCTCTTTCACTTCTGGGACAGGTGTGTCCTCCTGATGGTTCACGTGGGGCTCCACCACTCATCTTTCTTTTCCCTGGCCTGGCAGCTCTCCTATTTGCCCATCCTAGCCCCAGCCCTTTTTTCTTCTTCTAAATCTCTTTCTTTTTCTTAGTCCCCTCAGGACCTCAGGAGAGCCTTTGGAGTCCTGAGGCTACCTCACTTCCATCAGATCATATACTCATGGCCCCTGAAGGTTGTTACTGCTCTCCTTCATCCTTCTCTGTCACTGGCCCTCATTCACTGCTCCAAGTGATTCATCTGTTGCTCTATTCAGCGTCTTCCCAGACATCAGGGAGTAGATTCTTTCATGCAATTTTATTCTTAATGGCCTCTCCCTTCAATAAGTACATGTTGAATGAGAATCAGCCACCCCACGTCCAAGTCCTAATTCTCTCATTTGCCAATTGTGGGAGCATGGCCTTAATTTGTAGGAACTTTAATAGTCTCTCAATACTTAAAGCAAGGATAATATTAAATCAATGTGTGAATGTATGTGTGTGTGTGTGTGTGTGTGTGTTTGCTCATGTTAGCAGCAAAGCATCTGATACATTTGATATATTTCACATGTTTTAATAAAATGTTCCCTCTGCCATGGCTCAGCCCCTAAAGTTCCACCAGGCCCAGAGGAAGGCCCCCTCTTCATCAGTCTTTCCATGCAAACTCCAGTCCTGTGTGTCTTTTCTCATTTTCTGAATAGTCACAGAATTTTTGCTCAAGTAACACCTTCAAAGTTGTTAAAGGTGACAAATGATGAAGCCCGAGCGTGAATCAGCAGGAGGCCTCTTCTGGCCATAGAAGTGAAGACGGGTGAGGAATTTACTGATGTAGTTTTGATTTGTGCAGGTCTTCTCTTCCCTTTTTTAATGATAGCAACTTGTCTTTCATCTCCTTAGCAGCCATAATCAAATGTTTGCTGAATATATGATTGAATGAATAGACTCCAACATGTTTAGCGTAAAGAGATATTCTGTTGGGATTCAAAGAAGCCAATTCCACAAAACAACCAGGATATTTGTCCTCTCTGGAAACTCTGAGCCATGACCTGAATGCAGTCTGGCTAGATCTACAAATGTGAAGGAACATGGGGGACATTCAGAGGTTAACTGGGTCTTTCAGATCCCTGCCTCTCCCTCCCTCTCCTCTTTCCCTCTTTCCTCTCCTCTCTCTCTCTTTCCTTCTCTGTTTCTTTTTTCAGTAAAATATTCAGGTAAATTTCTTGGAAACATTGAAAATTAAATAGGTCAAATCTCTTCATTTTAGTTTGTGGATCTGGACATTTATGGATCTGTCATTTGTTCATTTATAAAATCAATGTTTATTAAAGCTTCTAGTGTATATCAGGCCCTGCTAGAGTCTAGGAATAAAAAGGACAAGTAGATTGCTCTTGCCTTCAAGTTTTATGGTTTATTGGGCAAACAATAGAAATAATTGTTTCTAAAACAATTATCCTTTGTTTTAGAAAATTCAACATGCCTGAGGAAACCACTATCCCTTGGTAACCATACATTAATATGCCTATATTATCAAAAGGTCACTATATGTAACCCCCAAATCAAATAACATTATTTTCCTCAGTCACATGCATAGTAATAAACATTTCCTTTGCCTAAAAGATTTTGAAAATTTCATCCAATCATCTCCATTTAATAAACATTTATGAAGTCATACTACATATGAGGCTTTAGATTATACAAAGTTTATATATACAATAAAAAAGGCTGTAAAGGAGCCTTTACTGAGTATCACTTATGTTCTAGGTCATTCCGTGTCATTCCAGCACACAAGATTGGCCAGCGGTTTTTCTGATTCATCTCTGCCTGTGCTTTCCTGGTTGTTAAAAACACTACTATCATTCCTGAACACATCATCTCATTTAATTCCAAAAGAAGCCTACCAAAACAGTGTACTATTAATCCCCAATTTGCAGATAAGGAAAATGAGGTTCAAAATGTCAAATAAAAGGCAGAAGGGGACACTGATGGCAGGTTATGGGATCAGAATTAAACCTGGGCTCTTGGAATTGTGAGTCTTCATATGCCTGGTTAAAAGAGCAATTCTTAAAACATGTTCTCCCACAGCACAGTTAATTTCTCCCATATTGTACATACCATAGGTAGGAATGAATGAATTACTGAATGAATGAATGTTGCTTAGAATGGGTGTTGCCCAGCTGTGGGGTCTCTGGGGGCTCAGCCTGGCAATGTACCTGTCAGGGGTGTGGGCCACCCTTTGACCCTAAGGCACTACTCTGCACACAGTACATAGAGCAAGACATTTGCTTCAGTTTATACTTTAACTTCAATTGCATTTTTCCCCACTTTTGGAGAAATTCTGAACATAAAATATCTTGATGGCAAATGGGGAGTGGGAAGAGGAGGGGGGAGTCATAACCGGGCGAGGCATAAACAAAGGCTATGAATATGCAAAAGGCCCATCCATCAAAAGTCTGAGTGTCTCATTTTTAGAAATGGGTAGAGGCAGAAATGTTTCTGGTATTTTCATTACAAAGGTTATGCAAAAAGTCAATTCTGGAAAGGAAACAGATTGACAATAAAACAGAAAAAGGCTATTTAAAATTCTGTCTTGATAGGCAAAGAGAGATATTTGAAATATTTTATTGGCACTGCACATGGGGTGTAAGTGTGCCGGGAAATACTGGAAACAACCTCTACTGCCACATCCCATTTATTGCCTCAAAAATGCTTTGCCTGGGACTCTAGCAGACCCACAAAAGAGGACAATGCTTCCTCTTTCTCTCTCTCTTTAACTCTAATGAACCTGTCCCCAGTGCTTTAGCTAATATTTACATGGCAGACCCCACAGACCCATGGCTATTTGCCCATCCAGCTGGTGTTGGCTGTCACCAGAAGGCATAGTCTATCAGGTTTCAGGGGCCTCTTTTCTGACTTGCCTGCAAGCCGTATGGCAGAGACACCCCTTTCTGACTTCCATGACTGACATTCACAGTGGAGCACTTACCTAAGTGGCTGTAACGAGGGTCTAGTTTGTCTAGTCTGTCTTCTGAGAGCTCCAGAGGCTGCATTTGCTCAGTGGACATCATCAAAGGAGAGCAGGTGTGCTTCTTATACTACAGATGTGTAAGAAACAGTCTGTAAGGGTGCCTGTGGCTCATCCACTCATTCACTTATTAAATAAATATATTTTTTGAGCACTAACTATTATTTCCCAACTCAGTCTTATTTTTTAAGAACTGCTTCTTATACTTAGATATGAAACTTTAAGCCCAAATAAGATGGATCATACACCCACCCATGCAGGCACACAGATTTATTTGCTAATTGTCATATATCAAATGCTCAGCATTTTTCCTCTTTCAGAGGCATTTTAAGAGTTTCAGAATAAATACCTCGACTGATTCTGAGTTAGAAATAAGTTAGCTCAGAGTTATAGAAAATCTTTTTTTTTTAATTTTAAATTTATTTATTTATTCTAATTTGTCATACTTGACAGCAGAATGCATTTCAATTCATAGTACATATATACAGCTCAATTTTTCATGTCACTGGTTGTTCAGAGTCACACCATTTGTGTCTTCATATATGTACTTAGGGTAATAATTTCCATCTCATTGTACCATCTCTCCTACCCCCTCTCTTCCCCTCCCTCCCCTTTGCCCTATCTAAAGTTCCTCCATTCCTCCCATGCTCCCCCCACATCCCCATTATGGATTAGCATCCACATATCAGAATAGAAAATCTTGATTGAACTTCACCTGTATTTTGTCAGCTGAATCCTGCAAAATAGGATTATGTCTGTTTCACAGATGAAGAAACTGAGGCTCACAAAGTTCACCTAATTTACTTAGTCATGCATCTATTAAATTACCAAGCCTAGATCCAAATCTAGTTCTACTGACTTCACTAGACCCATCTCTTAAAAACAAAGTGAATTATTGAATCCAAATTTAACCAGGCTTCTAGTTTTCCACCATTCTATCTCATAACTATAAAGTAATGAGACTGCTTCCCAGACCATATTATGAGGGTGGTAGAGTTGTGCCAGGAGAAAATTCAGGCCTCAGATGGATCTTCATTGTTTTCTCCCTAGGGATTCCTGACATGAGAGCAAGGCTGTCTGCCTCCCCTTATCCTCCATCTTTCCTGAACCACAAATCCATTTGAACTTCCAGAGCCATTAGATACAGTCATTGCCCAAGAGGAGTGAAAATCCAGAATGGACATGCGTCAGGTCTGAATGAAAAATGCATTAGCTGAGATTTATAGGAAATCTTCATTAGAGACTGTTCAAATCCTGTTTCTTAAAGTTCCTTTCTGAGGTTCTCTGATAATTAGTACTCAGGTCCTACAATAGCAAGAATGGTGGGGGAGGAACAAATAAGATTAAATTGGCTCAGCTGATCATCTTCTCTTGAGATTTTCTGGACCTGCGGTGTGCAGAGGAACACAAAAGACCAATTGTGCTAACATTTCAAGCTCATAGAATAAGTTCGACTCAGTTGTCTTCTGAGGAATTAGCCAGTGTTCTCAGGAAAGGCTGGAGGGCCTCTCCCCCTGTGAGCTGAGATCATTGCATAGCAGATGGAGCCATTAACTGATCACTTGAGCCTGGCTTTTAGTGTCACTCTGGGCAGACTGAATGTGCTATGTGACTTCAGCAGAAATCAATGCCGACCATTGTTCTTAATGTGTATATAGATATGGCCAACTCCCCTGGACCATAAAGAAGTGTGCTGTTATTTCGGGTAGCTCCTACCTCCATATTTAATGATAAGAGCTATGGGAAACCACTTAGAAGGGGGCTCTATGCTGAGGTCTCAAGGAAAAGTTACAGCCTCAGTTGGGGAACTTTGCACCTAATTAACCCATCTTTCTCTTCTCTGGGAAGTCATGGGTCCAGTCATAGCCGTTGTACAGAAAATCACCCCAGGGAAGATCTGACCCAAATAGTTATGCACTCATGCTCAAAGCCATCATTTGATCTTGGAGTTCTGGTCTTATCTGGTGATTGTTCTTCTTCTCCCCAACTTAAGGTAGCTCTTCTTCATGCTTGGGTCACAAGGCTGCCCCCAAGTGTCCAATAGCTGATTATTTAATTTGAACACAGGCTTTTAAGTCAATAAACCTAGGTTAAATCTCAGCTCAGTTAGTAACTAAAAAGCTATGTGACTTTGATGAAGTTGCTAAATATTAATGATGAGGTGAGGGTAAATGGAGCCCCAGCCCAATATAGTCATTTTTACCCTCTCTACCTAGAAGCTATGATGAAAATTGCAAGACTAGCTTCTTTGTTATACCCCTATAGACTGACACTCAGGGACATATGGGCCCTTTCTTCTCTGCCTGCCCCCCCCCCCTGCCCCCGGCACAATTGCCATTTTTACTCAGTTTTCTTATTTGTAAAACAGAAATAATAACTGCCTCATAGAGTTCCTGTGTAGCTCACTGCTTAGCACATTGTACTCGCTCTTCAAGAGATGATAGCTCTTATCATGTGCCATTTTCTACACCTCACTAGATAGCTGTGTAAGCGGAAAATTCTAAGAAACAATTGAACCTTTTGTTTTCAACAATTCAAATGCAGTTTCATCCGAAGGAAGCAGCCCTGACAGCACCAGAGCAGAGAGGGAAGAACCTGCCCCAGGTTGATCAGTTCCACCATTAGAGGGCCCCGGACATGCTAGGGCAGCTAGAGATTCCTCATGAGACTGACAGGTGCTACCTCTGCAAGGAGGCTATATTGTCCAATGGGAAAACAAACACTGTTTTAAATCAGTGTGAACCAGCAAGACTATTTGCAAGAGGGGTTGAGAGAGGATTTCCAGATTTGAGATTCAAAAATATTTTCTATTACAAAAATTTCTCATGTTTGGTGGAACACATTCTGCCCATGGGGTTATGTCATTGTGACCTTCCTGTCAGAAACTCCATCAAGAGCAAGTACTTGGAGGGCAGAGCTATTGGAATGTGTACCCTCTTATTGATCATTGCTACTGTACTTGCCTGTTGAATATCAGTATGAGGCCACCACCTGCTCCACTCCCCACTTGCCTTCTCAGAGAAAAGGATGCTCTTTAGGAGCAAACCATTGTAAGACCTGAGCCTATTTCTTGAACTAAGAAAGAGGATGTTTTTAATTCCAGCTCTCGACTCTGCCCTGCTTTCCTCTTTGATTCATTCTCCCCTCCAAGCAGGCATCATACACGTGCCTTGAAATGTTCTAATCTTATTAACAGCTTTAGAGAAAGCCAGGTGTGGCACGTGCCCTAGTCACGTGATCCAGGGAAGTGTCCATCATCTTCCTTAGCAGCTTCCTATCATTTGGGGACTTGGGAGGTATCAGTTCCCTTTATATCTAAGGTTCTCTGGGTCTTCAGATTGCAACGCAAAAGCTAGGGCATTCAGTGGCACTTGTTGACCGAGACTTTACCTTTGGGGTTGTTCCATAATTGTCTCTAGTAGAAAGATTTGTAACCCTTCATTATCTCTTGCCTTTTCTGGTTCAGGGTGGTCTCTGAATTTTAACACTGACACAGTGGTGGCTTGTTCTGCTCTGTAATTGTCAATTTGAGGCCACCTACCCTCACCTGATGAGCTAGAAGTCAAATGTGCTGTAGAAATGAGGGCATTTTTATTATGTAACACCCCCAAGGGGCCTTAGGGAGCACCAGGGATTGCACACATTATTTCTGCAGCTAAATATGAATCTTCACACTGAATGGTGGCAAGCACAGACCCCATGAAGATTCCAATCCTTCCAGGTCAGGTTTGACTACCCAATAACTTTATGTTGAGTTTCACACAAACAGTTTCAGATTTTTTTGGTTTTCAGAAATTTTCACATTTCTTAATTAGAGAATAAAGGATTGTGGATCTGTACTCTTTTCTTGGGTGTTGGTTTGGGAGAATGAGCAAAGCATGTATAAGAAAGAGATCAGGAGTTGTAATTTCAGGATCTGAGGAGGGTTTGTAGGGCCCCAGATGCTAAACTCTTACAACTTCCTGACTAATCCTTTTCCCAAGAGACAAAGCCTTTCTTTTCACAGAGACACTTGTAAAAGCAAATAGGACTGAGAGAGGAGATCTATAAACAGATGTCACAGTTCTCAGCAAACGTTAATGGCAGAGGTCACCTAACCTTTTGAGAAGAGCAACTGAGAGGGCTAAGGAACTGGATGCCTGGGCAGGAACCCCAAGAAGTTGCTGGAGGGCAATCCAGCCTGCAGAAACTTGAGGACCCGTTTTTGCTGAGACCAGCTTCCATCATCTCAGGCTAGTTCTTTTTCAGGGGGATTACATGCTATCTCTGCAGCTGCAGGAGATTAGTGAGTTCAGTCTGAGGTCAGAAGTTGGTCTGGGAACTTTTTCTTTTGAGTCTCAGTAGCTTTCTCAGTTGGATGTAAGAATATACGGTTTAACTCATGGGCAGAGAATTCCTCTCTGACTGTAAACCTCGGATGCTCAGAGGCAGAAGCAAATGCTGGGTTGCTTGTCCCTCTTTAACTTGGTGAATTTGGGAAATCCATGTGTTCTCTTGAAAAAGCTTTCACATCTGTAAATAGTGGATGCTAGTGCCTATTCTCCAGCATCACTGAGAGTACTAATAATATAATATGCGGATAGCACCCAGCCCAGGACCCAGCACATGCTAACACTATCATGAGCATGAGCTGCCTTCTTTGCACTCTTAGTCTTGTGATTATGATGCCTACATCTATAACTATCTAAATTGATTTTCAGAATAATCTCGCTCCACACCTGGCCTTCTCTAAAGCTGTTAATAAGATTAGAACATTTCAAGGCACAAACCAATGGCAGAACACCCACTTTCAGATCTTGGGAACATAGCAATTCTCTGTAGCCAGTGGATACTTGGGTGAGATGATGGTATTTTAAAGAATATCTTAAAAGTAATCAGGTCTAGATGTACTTGATGCAATCAAAAGTTTCAACAATGACAACCATCACCCAATGTGCCGTCTGGTTAATGCCCCCTCTGGCTATGTACAATTCATATCCTTTAGTACCCCTCTCTTTAACCTGAGAAATTCAGGACAAAGAGTACCACATTTAAAAATCAAAT